AGAAGCAGCCCTGATAAATACCTCTGGGATCCAGCAGCAGGCTCAAGGGGTCGCATTTTTAGGGTAAGGCTTTAGCTACAGCACAACCCTCTGAAGCCTCCGCAGCTACTCACCCTAATATCTGTCAGCAGAGGTCACCCCAGGCTCCGCCCCACAGATCTCCCACAACCAGATCCTGAAGGTGCAGCAGCTCTGGGGCCGCTTAGTTCTCCTGCAAAGAGAAGGAGCGAGAAATCTTAAGTACAAAACAGTAAGTGTCCCCCCGCCTTTTTTTTTCTTTCTTTTTTTTCTTTTGGTACTAGGGATTGAACTCAGGGGCACTTGACAACTGAGCCACATCCCCAGTCCTATTTTCTATTTTATTTAGAGACAGGATCTCCCTGAGTTGCTTAGCAACTCACCGTTGCTGAGGCTGGCTTTGAACTTGCCATCCTCCTGTCTCAGCCTCCCAAGCTGCTGGGATTGCAGGCCTTCTCCACTGTGCCTGGCTTACAAAGCAGTAGATCTCAGAACAGAACCGTCTCCTCGGGGAATAGGTGCATGACATCTCTTCTGCTCATATTTCATTGCAGGAGAGAGTCCTAGCCCCAGACCTCTGATGGTGGGACAGGACTGTGGCCACTGAGGAAGGGCAGCACCTCTCAGTTGTCCTGCTGTATCCATGGGGGTGAGTTCTGGAACCCCTTGGATACCAGAATCCACAGATGCTCAAGACATATATAAAATGGTGTCTAGTGTTTGCTTGTAACCTGTACTTAGCCTCTGGAATTCTCTAAACCATCTGTAGATTTCTTATAATGCATGCAATATAAATGCTATGCCATACTGTATTGTTTAGGAAATAAATAGCAAAGAAAACGCCTGTACATGTCCTTACAGATGCAGCACATTGTTGGTTGAATTCCCAGATGTGGGTGCACAGACACGGAGGACCGGCTATGAATGCTTTTAACAGGGGAGGGAAACCAGAGATGGAGAACCTTAAACAACCTGCCCTATGGTTAACCGTTGGGGGCGGTCACCCTGTCTACTGCACAGAACCCCCAGCAGCTTCTACACAGGGGATTGGGGCCCACCTGACTGGAGCTCTTGTTCCAGCTGCATCTTGTACTCCCGACCTGCGGCCACTTAGTGTCACCACTGTTGACCGGTGATGAGTCCTCGCTTCCCCGAATGCTGAAGTATGACACCAGAGAAGCCCGCGGAGGCCAGGGGAGAGTGGACGGTGGACGCTTTATTAAAGGACAGCAGAGAAGACTTCTCCCTGGAGGGAGAAGGGGACC